ATTCCTAGTGTGGTTCATTATGCTCAATATTATGCTAGCCTAATATGCTCAAGCCTAGCTGCAGCAATGTAAAGGTGTGGCTGCAATGAAGGTGTGGCTCAATCAAGCCATGCTCCACCCGCACACACAGTAAATGGTGGCACATGGCCATAACTGGTGAAGAAAGCTTTGGTTTTTCTAGACCTTTAAACAGTTTAACATACATTTGTTAGGCTCTATTTGTTGCATACAAACTGCTATCTAGTCTCTGGTGTTTAAAGGCTCTGGCCGCTACTTCGGGAGAAGAGAGCCTCGTCTAAACTCACAAGGTATGAAAGTTTGGGCTATCATATCTTTAAAACGAAGACGATTGGAGCAATTTCTTACATATTATTTAAAGATGAGGCTTTGTTCTATCGCTTCATTTGTCTTGCTGCTTTTTAGCTTTCACCACGAAAAAGATATATTTGTACCGACTACATTTGGCGATATTGTGAGCTTTCTCTGCCTTAGGAAGACGAGTCAAGCCATTTTCCAGACAAAGAATAACTTTTTCTATAGCTAGCTTTGATTATAAGGCTATCCAGGATTTCACAAGAAAGCAGTGTCAGCTCAAAATTGGAGGTCAAGCGAACACACACACACACACACACACACAGACAAAACGACTGCTTTACCCTCGCTTCACGCCTACGCGTGGCTCGGGTAACAACTGTTCTCATCATAAATATACAATGAATAAACACTTACATTATTCACTTTACTACTCATGTAGGAACGATAGCATATTAACTAATATTCATGAAATATTTTTGTGTGTCATTCCACTACAGTGTTTATGCATGTACTGTACAAGTTGTAAAGTTAATGTTTGATGGTATGAAATTTTACTGTCATTATAGAAACAATGTACAGTAAGACAAGGGGAGATGATGCTTTATTTATTGATTTCTAACTTCATGCCATACCATAACTTAATTCGTATTAATTGACTCACACACATGGGCATGACGAGATTAATATGCATCAAAAATACCATAACAATTGGGGAGGATTTTGGAGCCATTATTTGGAAGAAAATTATGGGCTATAGTCTTGGGTATTTTTTAGGACATTGGTAGTTTATTAAGATGACTGTAACTTGAAAAATTTAAGTCGTAATCAACTCAAACTTTCTACACAGCATAAATATATCAATATGTATCAGAAAATCTAATTAAAATTTGGGGTGATTTTGGAGTCATTTCTTGGGAAAAACCATAGGCTATATATAGCCTTAGTTGGACATTTTTCAGAATTTTGGCATTAAAAAAATGGCCGTAACTTAAAAATTGTATGTCAGAATCAGCTTAAACTTTCTACATAGCATAGGATTAGGACATTAATTTGTATTTTGAATAATTATAATAAAAATTGGGGTCAATTTTGGAGCCATTTACTGAACAAAAGCAGTAGCGCTAGCTAATTTTCATTAATTAATTTTACTAATTTTTAAAATTGCTATAACTTGAAAAATTTTATTCAGAATAAGCTCATATTTTCTACACAGCATAAGGACAGCAATACGCATCCGAAAATGTAATAAAAACGTTTAGGCAATTTAAAAAAAGTTAGCTTTGTGTACTTTTCTGGATTATTTAAAATTAAAATAACATGACATGCTCGCTCAAAATCTCTCCATTATTCAATAAATTAATACAAAATACATTAAGAAACATGCATTACATTACATTACATTACTTACATTAAATACATGTGAGACTTTTAAAGCTACAAGCTCCTAAGCTCCTACGAGAGAGAAAATAAGAAAGGATAGGAGGAGAGAGATGAGAACAATAAAGTATAAATATGCTACTAACTGATAATGATTCACCATTACAATCTGTCTATCTACTAAATAGATAAATAAATAAATTAATGAATTAATAATATTTACCTTAATTCAGAGTTTCTGATTTCTAATGTCACCATGTTCAATAACGAGCCCCACCCTTTGCATTACTTTGCAAAGTTTGCATTACTTTGCAAAGTTTGCATTACTTTGCAAACTTGAGTTTGCATCCGGTTAGCTCAAGGGTTAGCTTGTTCTGAGGCTTGTTCTTTGATCAATGGCAACTAAAACCAGTTCTTGTTCCTCTTCTCTGAGTCTCTTCTCTTCTCCTTTGACTATTGGTAATGTTCATTAACTATCTATGTATCATTGAATATGATTTTAGACCAACTTATTGATGTACTTAATCTGTTGAAGAGATGTGGTTTCCCTCAGACAAGATGGAAGAAACTAGGACTGACACTAGGACTACTCATGGACTCACTGGACGCCATTGAAAGGAATCATCCTGGTGATGTATATCAATGCTTGACAGAGTGTCTCTCCAAGTGGTTGTCCAGAGCTGATAATGTTGACAGTAAAGGAGGAGCTACCTTTGACTCACTGTCAGATGCTCTTAAATCTATGAATGAGAATGCTGCAGCTGGCAAGTTAGATCAAGAGAGTAAGTTAACTGATTGTATTAGTATTGACTGTGTGTGTGTATTCTACAGAACGTAATGCTATGATCAGTGGTAATGATATCAAAGGAACCAATGATGTACACAGTACTGCTACTGGTGAGTGTTACATTACTAGACTCAAGATGTACAAAATTAGTATTTTCAGAAATTGGTGGAGGAGTGTAATTTGTAATGTAAATTTAATTTGTTAAATTTTGTGTAAAATATATAGTAAGTTGGTATGTAGTATGATAACTGTGAAATACTTCGATTGAGATAATTACTACAGTTATTTTAATGCTCTCTCCTCCTACAGGTACAAACAAGCCATTGATGGGAGGTCCTCCACTCTCTCCTATTGCATTAATGGATATACCAGATGATAGACCAAAAGTATCTGAATTGATAGAGTTTCATGAGTTATTGATCAAAGGAAAACTGGAGGAGTCTCTGTCACTGCTTGATGCTGATACTATAAGAAAGATTAGAAGTGCTGTTAATGATCATGAAGGAATGTCTCTTCTTATAAGAGCATTTGAAGAACATCCAACACTGCTACATGAAATGAGAGTAGCCACTGGAAAAATAAAAGGTATAAATATTCATTACAAAATGCATTAAAATTAGCTAAAGTAATCAGCAAGCACTAACTTATTTACAGCCAGTGTGTATTAATATTAATAGCAATTACTATTAATAGGTTCATCACAAATAACACTAAAGTCTTCTCTCCCAGTAGCTCCTAAACCAAGATCATTATCACAAAGTGGACAATCTCAACCATTGACAACAGCAAAAAAGCAGCGACCACTTTCACAAACCACACAACCTCCACCAACAGCACCTAAACCACGTCAACCATCACTAACTACACAACCTCCTTTAAAAGCACCTAAACCACACCGACCATCAATAACTAAAAAACCTCCATCAATATCACCAAAACCAAATCGATCTCAAGATTCATCATTAGCTCCACATGATCCAACAGCAACAGTACTGCAAGATAAGGAGGGGAAGAAAGATCCATCATCATTCAGACCAATGGAAGGATCAATGTCACCAGAATACATTACAATGAAAGAGATGTTAGCTGATCTTGTTGATCTGTTGGCAGGAAATGCTCCAGTTATTTCACAATTAAATAATCATCTCTTTTCTCTTTCTGTCATACCTCAAGATGTACACAATGCTGTTGCTAATCCTTATCCTACTCCAAATGAAAGAGCCACTCGACTCATCAATTCATTATTAACTATCACACAAACTCATTCTAATCCTAACAGTGTGTTCTCTTCTCTTATTACTTCACTAC